CTTTTGGGGCTATAAAATTGAGGAGCAGAAAGCTTCAAGGGGAGAGTGCTTGTAGGCAGAGCAGGGATGGCTCAGGTGTGATCCAGGGAAAAAAGGGAGGTTTTTATTTCCCATTAAAAATGTGCAATGGAATTATTGGCTTTCATCCTGCTTGAATTTTTCCCCCCAGAAAATTAATTGTAGGAGGATGAAATTTAAAGGGGAATCCTGATATAGGTCAGGCAGGTTTTGTTCCCCCAGCCCCTTTCCCTTCTCCTCCCACACTAGAAAGGGAGTGGAGGGAAGGAAAAGGGGGAGAAAGGAGAGATCAATGGATCTGTTTGGTGTGCTTCCAAAAGCACTTTTGGGACAAGAAATTGCCCCCCCCCCCCGATCCTTGTTCCCAGGCGTTGTCCTTGTGTCTGTGGCATCCTGATCAGGCGATGCAGCATGACCCAGAGCCTGTTCCCAGCCTTGGCTGTTGTCAGCACTCCAGCCAGGTGACACTACGGTACTTTCCGTCCTGCCGGGCAGCCTGTCATCCGCGCCTGCTGCCAGTTGGAAAGCAAGCGGCCATGCTCCCAAAACGGGTCCCCTCCTTCTTCCCCTCCGCCTCCTCCTTCCCCCGACCAAGCTGCTCAAGGGCCAGAGAGGGCTGCGAGGGGGATTAGCAAGCGCTAAAGAATCTGCAGCCTACGTTCCACATGGCCTTCGGATTAGCTGCCCTAGATGCACATGGCATTTCCCTGGGCAGAGCTGCTGCCCCAGCAGACTGGTCTTCTGCAGCAAGAGCTAATGGGAGGCGCACCTCTAGTCTCCAGCAGGTCGCAGATGGCACCGCCACATCTGCCCTGCCCCGAGAGCTTTCATTTGCCCTTGGCTAGAGGCCTCTTGTGCGTTTTGCTGCAGCAGAGCACCCAGAGCATCCTCAAGTACAGACTCGGGGAAGATCTGGTTTGAACATCGTTCTCCCCTTCCCCTTCCATCCACAGCTTTGTTCTGGATACGAGTGGCAAGAATACCATATTTTACCATAGACAACACTCACTTAAAAAAAAACAAAAACCCAGCTGCTGGAAATTGGAGTGTGCATTATATGTGAGAAGTACGGTAAGAGCAGTTTCTGCTACATACTAGGCAAAAGCAGAAGTGAAGTCTGCCCACGGTTCACAGAGGGAGCAGGCTCTACTCCTGAGATGCGGTCACTCAGTTACTACAAGGAGAGAGCTTTTTTTTTCTTGTCTTCATTGCACCTTTCAAAAACAAGGTGCAATACCTCATCTTGGGACACGTCGTATGTGAGAAAATACAGTGTAGGTCAGTGGAGAGCTGTGGTGCTTGAAAGGATTTGACTTCATTAAGGGAGACACCAGCTAGAACCAAGATCATCTCTTTGAGTAATCCACATGGTTTTGATCTTCCATTTCACCTCTGTATACAGGAGCCAGTTACTTTAACCTCACCCCCAAAGGAAATTAATTGCCTTCTCCATCCAACCCCTACCTTCCCAGTCACTGGTTGGGGAACAAGGCAGTTTCAATGGAGGGAGATCTCTAGTCATTTCTGGTTACAGAGGCCCACCATGTAATTCAAGCTTTGTCGTTCCTCCCAAACCAGAAGAGAATGATCTGTTAATCCTGCTATGAAAAATTTCAGACCCAATTAGAAAACCTCAGGGAGAAGAATGGGTTTGGGTTGAACACTGCAGAATGGAAGCAGCCTCTGGTGGGGTTTTCCAGGTGTTTTGATCCATGCTGCACTATAAGAGGAGATATCTCATCATTATCATCATCAAGGATGCTGGCTACAGCCCAGGCTGGGGTTGTGACTGGGGTGCACCCAGTGCTCCTGCTGCAACTAAAACCTAGAGGTTCCTTGGTAGAGGGTCTTGCCCCTCCACTCAAGGTCAGACCGATTGCTGCATTTGGGGTCAGGAAGGAGTTTTACCCCCTGGCCAGATCAGTATAGACTGTTGGGATTTTTGTCTTCTTGAATAGTGGGGGTCGCAGCCCTCTGTCTTGGATCTCGAGCATATTTTGGCAACCTGTGACACTGGCTGCTGTTGTCCCCTTGCTTTGCCTATGTAGTTGTGGGACAGGGTTGATTGTTTCACTTAGCAATAGTGATCATTTTGGATGAGAAGGATCCTTCCTCAGGCAGAGGGTTGTACAAGATGACCCCCAGCGGTCCCTGCCAGCCCTGCTTTCCTATGATTGTTGGATTGTCATTATCATCATTTGTAATGCAATAGCAAAAGTACGGTACCAATACAGCAATGCAGCACGGTACCAGTACAGAGCAGAAAAAGCTTGTGCCCCAGAAAACTTACAGTCAGAGTTACTTATACAGCCCACAACACCGTCAGCTCTGTTGTAAACCTGTATTGTCCAGAGCTTCCAGTGTAGGGAAAGAACCTCTCCAAAATAAAACTTGACCTGGAAGCAGATACATGCCTTACTTTTGTGAAAGACAAGGGGAGAATTCTCAAGGCTTTTCATTTTTATTATTTTTCCCCCCCTCTGTGGAATTTGGCATGGAAAGAGACCAAGACTTCCAGGAAATTTTGTAGCTTTGACTTTAAAAAAAGAATTGGCAAGGGAGGGCTCCATAATAACGCCTAATTGCTTCTGGTATTTTGAAAATACAGTGATTAAATGTGCATGTGTAATGCAATCTGTAAACTGGTTGCCCGACGCCAAAGAGGAACTTTCTGTACAAAATTCGCCAGGTTCTTACAACAGACAGCGCAAATCCCCGCTGCGTCATGGCTGGGCGTCCAGCGAGTGAAGGTGTTGGGGGGTGGGGGGGAAAGCAGGTTTGGCAATTCAGGTTGTGTACTAAAACCCAGGGGGCCTGTCCCAGACTAGGCTTGTGAGCTTTTTTTCTGGGACATACTTGTTTACACAGGCAAATTTGCACCCATCAAGCGATACAAGTGCCCTCGTGGGGTAGCAGCTTCGTTGGTGTAATGGAGCTGTTGCCATGGGGGAAGGGGACTAAAATAACTGCTTGGGATGACTCACCTTCCTTGCAGTGCCACAGGGGCCAGGCCAGGTTTTTTTTACTAGTGGAGATCTCCCACCTCCAAACAAAACAGTTGTGCTGGGAAAAAGATGAAGGGTAAATCCAGCCGTGGAGTGTATTGCCCTTGTGCCAAGGCCTTGGCATTGCCAGGCTGTCGGAAGCCTTCCTGAGTCTCTCTGCTCTGCTCTTAGGAGGTGTGATATAGCAGGCTTGCAGGGTTAATCGTACTTGCTCAGGTACTGGTAGTAGTGAAGCCAATGATGGACTGTAAGCTTGCCACTTTTGGAGGAGATGAGCCCCCCAAAATGCCTCTGCGTTTGCAGTGCTGTTGTCCTGACAGGCTGGGGAGAAGGAGATCTCTGTTTGTGCTTCGGACCCGCTGTCTAATTTGGATAGATTCCCCCTCCGGTTTCGGTCCGTCATCAACAGCTTTGCTGATGCTGCTTTCCAGAAACCGATGATCCTAGGCTGTGTTTCCTCCCTGCCTGCAGCGTTTTGACTCAATTAACTCAACGTGCATCCTTCAGGTCCTGATCTCGATAACCTCCGAGGTGCCAGGTTTGCACGTAACAAGGTCATTGCAGGAGGCATCCAGCCCAGTTTGAGGGCATTTGGTGTCGTGTGGCTCTAAGGACAATGAATCCCTGTCAGCAGAATGGTAGAGAATTGCTAAACGCGCCTGAGACCAATTCCTCAGGTTTTTCTGGTGTAAATCCAAGGAGTCTTCAGGGGTGTTGCTGCTGATGCCAAAGTGAGTAGTTCTGAACCCAACTTGGAGCTGCAACCCCACTATGATACGAGTTGGGCAACCAGCCAACCAGAAACGTGGCCATGTTTGGCTTTCCAGTTCGAGGGGATTATCCCTGCACAGCCTATACCCTGTGAAGTCCTGCAGACCCAGCCTCCCTGCTTAATACAGTTTTATTGTGTTGAGGTTGGCAGACTCCACTGCATGTTACAGCAAAACCCTTGCATCTATTTAAAACAGCCTTAAAAAGAAAACAAAACCACATTCCACCCACTCATTTCGCTGGGGACAAGTTGTTGTTTGTGTCTTAATGGGAGAATAAATAGCACCAGGGCTTATTTCTCCCATTCTCCATCATTGTCATCCTGGGAATTGTGGAGAGAATAGATTTTTTACGTCCGAGTTTGAGCTACAGGACCAAATTCAGTCCTGATGTGAATGGATCCTTTGAAGTCGGTGGAATTCCTTGTCTCAGTCCCTGGATTGTGCTTTCCTTTCCGTTACCCTAGTCAAATCGCTTGGGCCAGATCCTTAGCTGAAATGGGAAAAGGCCCATGTTGTTAAATCCTGTTAAGGCCCGCAGGATCTTGGGCTAAGGGAGTTAGTTACTTTTGTGTAGAGAAAAGGGTCAGGAGCGAAAGGGGTGGGGGAGCTGTTCTTCTTTTTGGTTAGACCTTGCAGGAGGGATCCTCATTCCCATCCCTCTGCCAGTAGAGAAGTGTGTTACCATAGGAACAGGTTGCCCATACGTCCAGTTTGCACAGAAATCCAGAAAACCTCTGATTTGATTGAGGCCGAAAATCAATGGCAAAACTGGATGCGGGAAGAAGTTGAGACCCGGTCCCTGCCTGAGGGTAAGAGGAACCTGGTATAGCCAAGGTATAGATATCTCCCTTAGTTGGGGAGCAGAGCCGGTTAAAATATTGTGAATTTTTCGTCATTTAAGGTGGGATTTCCCCCCCCCTCTGAATTTGCAGATTTGCACTGTCGGATTGATTCATCATGAGGTTTGTCCAAAGGTTCTGCTGTTGGATTTGTCATGCTCTCCTTCCCTGCCCCCAAGTGTTTTAATCATGTTTGATGCCTGTTTGCAGAACTCTAGGATTCCCCCACCCCCTTCCTTTCCCTGACCAGGTCTGCAGTAAAGGCATCACCCTATTCCCCTCCTTCCATTTCAGTCCTGGCCACCACCAGCCCCCCATTATCCCATTCCAGCCTAGATCTCAACCTGTCCCGGTTGTGTTTTCAGACGTTAAGAAAGAAAGGTTTTAACGGTTGTGACAGCCCGGAGCCTGACGGAGAAGACTCCATCGACCAGAGCCCCCTGATGGAGGACAAATACCGCAAAGCCAGCGAGGACCTGGACATCCTATTCAAGCGCTACGGTGTAAGTACCGTGCCCCTCTGGCCAGAAACCTTCATTATGTGTTTGTTTTTTTCTTTTGTTCGATTTCCCCCCAACCCTCTTCCCCACCACCTCCCCCCACCCAACCCTGAACGTCACAGGCGCTGAACAAGAAGCACAGGGAGTGCGAGAGCCCAGAAGGGGACGAAGTGTTTGCACTGACCCCACAGACGGAGGAGAAATATAAAAAGATTGATGAGGAGTTTGATAAAATGATGCAGAGTTACAGGCTCGCAGTGAGTAGCTGGTAGCCTGCAACCCCCCTTTTTGCTGCCCCCCCTTGCACCCTAATGGACACTTAGCACTTAGTATGCAAAGGTAGTGACTTGCATGGCTTTGCTCCCAGAGCCTTGCTGTGCCTCATTTGTTTGCTCCCATCCGATGCAGCAAACCTAGGGCAAGGGATGCATTAGGAGGTGATGTTACCTAGTGGTTAAAAACAGGCCCAGCAATGCTAAGACCCCTTTTGCCTGCTCTGCCAGTGCAAAGGAGCCTTAAAGTGAGAGGAAAGAGCCCCTTTATAATATCCCCCTCCCTCCAGCACAGTCCCAGCCATACTCCTAGCACCCACCCAGGCTGTTTATGTTAGGTCTTAGAATGAGCATCAATCAGAGGTGAAGGGTCCTGGATGGTGCCAGCTGGGTGAGCTCTGAGATTAGAAGACTTATCAACAGAACTATCATTTTAGCACTGTTAGACTTATCCCAGCATATCCCCCAGTGTAGACGCAATTAAACTTAAAGGCATGTGTTACTCAGTTATTTGCATTGAGAATGAGCCATGCATGGTGTTACCACCTTCCAACCAACATACTGTATATGCTGGTATACCATGTGCCCCCCAAATAAGACGAGTGCCTTGTTTCTGGGAGGCTGAATGAATTAAGAAAAAAAAGGTGTTTCCTTTAAAACAAATGGTTTGGAATCAATTTCCTCATTTAAGACATATGCCCCCAATTTTTGATTGCTAACTTTTGTGGGGAAAAGGGGTGTGGTATGTCATTAAATATGGTAATTTCCTCCCGTGGGAGGGGAGTGGTACCAGTGTTGTCATCTCAGTGCAGGTGAGATCGTGCTACTTTTAAGTGTAGAGGAATATAGAGGAGTTGAGGTATCTGGCTTGAAACTTCCAGTTAAATTAGAGAGCTTCAAATCCAGTCCCATTGCTGTTAACCTCGGGTCAAATCCTGGTGCTGCTAATCCAGCAAACTCTTCTTCCTGGGGAGTTTCGCCTCCACAAGGGAAGGGTCTCACTGTACCCGGGTCTGGTTCTACTCTGGTTTGCTCTTGCATTAAATCCACACAAATCCACAATCCGTCCAGTGCAGCTGGTGGAAGTGGCTCAAATCCCAGGAGGTTTTAGCCTGTGGTCGCAGCGCCAGCCCTGAGGTGGCATCAGGACAGTGCCAGAAGGGATTTGTGTCAAGGGAAGGAGATGTCACAAAGGATCCATTCGTCCAAGAGAGCCAGTTTTCAGAAGGATTAGCTACTTGGTCAGGCAGGGAGTAGAAAGGGAAGCTGATTTCCCAGGGTTGGATGTAGCAGAAACACTCCCGAATTGTCCCTTCTGTTCTTGTGCCTTTTCCCAAGACTTTGCTCCTGTGGAAACAGGGTGAATATTCTTCCTGCACTTCCTTCGTCCTTTATGCCACACTTCTGGCATTCAGAAAGACTTAAAACAGGTAGCTACACTCTAAGGAGCCTTACACGAATGGGACCCTGGCCCTAAGTCAGGTCTCCATCATGGGGATGATGCTTAGAAAGGAATGAAACCTCAGCCTGTGACCAAGATTGAGGCTCTTGCAGGCCCCTGGGACAATATAAATGGGCCTGAAAGTGGGCATCACTGGAATTGTGCCTCTTTGAAAGCCCTACATTGGCTGCTGAAGAGAAGAAATCTTAGAAAATCAGGCCACAAAACCTAGAGTTAAGGAAGGTTTAGCTGATAGGGCCTGGCCCTGCCTCAGTGGATCTGGCTAGGATTTGGCCATCAGCTTGCTTGGTGCTGGGCTCAGAGCTGGGAGAGGTTCTCTGGGCTTCCCTGTGCCAGCTTCACACCAGCCCCTCCTGGCCTGATTGTCATGCACCTTGTGCAGTCCTTTTACACCAGCACAAAGCTGGTCCCACTCACCCCCCAGCCCCAAATCAGTGCAGGGTTTGATCTGCCTCTGAAGTTGCAGCCAGGTGTGGGGGCAGAGCCCTGCCAGATCAGAACTGGCAGCATTTTGCACTCCCTTTGCCCTAGTGTCAAGGATCATCCAGGATCAGGGAAATGGAAGAATGAGCCTCCCTTGGTCACTTAGGGTCTGCATCCCACTAGCTCCCATTCTCACCGGTCTCTGTCCCAGAGACCTTCCAGTCGAGAGCATCCCACGGGCAGTCAGGCCTAGCATCCCGCCCCCCTTCTGAGGACCTGGGGATGAGTGAGGCAGGAGGAATGTGCAGTTGGAGCAGATGCTTTTCTCTCTAACCAGCTGGTTTGGTGTGATGAGAACTAACCCACCTGCCTCCTCTGCTGGGGTACATGGCCGGGCAGATGCTGGCGCGGTGTTCAGAGTGCCATGGACATGTGCTTTCCCTGGTAAAAGGAAGGCATTGACGTTTGGTTGATTCATGAGCCACCCTCCCCTCCTCTCCGCACCCTGACCGTCCCTGGGTTTGGGATTGTTGTGCAAGCTGCGTTCACTCTGACCCCTTTGCTTTCCATAACCTGGCCCTGCAGCCCCAGTGCCCCAGCACTGTCCTCGGCTGGAGAGGGCCTAGGTGCTATGACCCTCTCCGGGCTTGGACAGGAGCACTCAGTCAGGGGGGAAGGACCTTGGAGCAGATGGAGAGAGAGAAGAGGGTCTGGGGCTCAGCTTTGCAGGTCTCAGTCCCATGTATGCCAAAAGATGTAGCACCTGCATATCTATCTATCCTGGCATATCTGTCTATCTATCCTGCCTTCCTTCCGACTTTCTCTCTCTTCTCTCTTTTACACACGGAGGAGCATGATTCAAACACGTTGGAGCTCCTGCCCAGTCAACCCCCTTTGAGGGCAGCATAAGGGAGGCTGCAACATTACAGCTGCATCCATTTCAGAGCTGTGCTAAGGGCCCTTGGTACTCATGAGAAACTGATTCAGAAAGAGTCTCTCGCCCTGGAGAGCTTATAGTGCAACGGCTCAAGTCAAGGCAGTGCAAGGGCTCAGGCTGGGGGTGGGGAACGTTTTTGTGCCCTGCTGCTGCCCGGCACTGCTGGGGCCTGATGAGAAGAGGTGGGTGGCACTGGGGAGCTTTCCTGGCCATGAACCCTCAAGCAAAAGGAGCCAGGGCTTAACTGTCTGCTGTCATGTCCCTGTCCTGCACCAAGGAGCCACTTAGCAAAAGGGTCCTAGCAAAGCTGAGAGGCAGTGAAACCACCTGACTTTCCAAGCCCGATACAATTAAAATGGGGCTTTAGCAAAGCCCTGGGAAAGCCTCCAAGCAGGTGCCTGGCCTCGTTAATGAAAAGCAAATTAGTGGTATAAGAAAGAGCGTTAGGATAATCTCGACAGTCTGGCTTTAACAGGGACCCAGATGGGTGGTGCACTCTCAAGCTAGGGTTGAAGGACCTTGAAATAGGCATGATTCTGTTTCCTGAGGGCAGACCCTGGCTCTCATCACCGACTCTGCCATCAGCGATGGCAGCAGCTGCATGCACGGAGTAGCAGGACCTCTCTCTGCCTTGCCTCTGTGGAGCAAAGCAGCACTTCGGGAGTGCTCCGAGACAGTCTGAGATCAGCTCTTCAGATCCTTTGTGTTCTGGGTTTGTGCAATGCCCAGCACAGCTGGGTGCTGTTCTGTGGCTTGGGTGGCGATGCATATTGGAACCAAGAATGGTCTATTTGTGCTTGGTGCTGTCGAAAGGGAAAGAAAATCCCTGCTTCCACAGAGCAAATCCCTGCCCTCTCCAGAAGCAAAAAAATTCCACCTCACTAGATTCACATTTCATCCTCAGTTTGTACCTGCTGGGAAAAACCACCCTAGGCCCCTCTCTGTAATGGGCCAAGGTCAGGGGTATGAAGTGTTCAGCACTTCCCATTGCTAGAGACCTTTTCCCCTGCAAAGAAATCCCAGGGCATGGGCTGGATCCTGAGTGGACCCAAATCAGCATAGCACCACTAACTTTAATGGTTCACATCCTTTAAAGACAAGGCTCTGCATTTTATCATGTCTGTTGCAAGCAGCAATGAACCCCGGCTAGACATTGTGTGCCTGGCGTCTCTCATACACCTATTAAGAATGGACTTGAAGGTCTTGAGAGACAGAGGGACTCTCCTGGCTGCCTGAGATGGGGAACTGAGGCACAAGTGACTTATCTGAGGTCTGGCGGTGTCTGTAGCAGAGCCAGGAGTTGAACCTGGTGTTTTTGGGAGTCCAAAGTGGGGGGCTACTGTCTTAGCCCCACACTTCCCCATAGCTCAAGTGCAGGAGATACCCAGCTTCGTGGCAGGCCCAGCAGTGTTGTCCATGGGAGCTCTTTTGAGCTCCTCCTCATGGCATATTGGTACAGACCCTCTCCCTTTCAACAAGCACATGTGAAGGACCAGTGGTTTTGGATATGAACAGTTCTCCCAGGGTTTACACTTCCAAGTGGCACAAACAGGCTCTTTCCACAGGCCTCCCTGAGACAGGCTCAGCTGCAGTAAACAGAGCATAATCCAGCTAGAGTAAATCAGGGTACCCCACTGACTTTAAAGGATCTGTGCTCCTTTACCCCAGCTGAGGGCCTGGCCCGGTCAACTCCATTCATCCTCTTAGCAGCATCAACCCTGTGGGTGTGGGTCTTGCTTACGCAAAGACCACCATGCTCTGGCTTCCCTTTGATGGGCTGAGTCATGCCCAGCTCCCTCGGCGGGCTCTTTCTAACATGCTTTACTAACCCCTGTGGTACGTAAAGCAATCCCTGTAGTAAACAACAGAAGACAAAGCCAAGCAGCTGGTTGCAAGACAGTGTGGCTTTGATGGTGTCCTCGTGGGCACCTCTTGCTCCTTCTCAGCCTGCCTGGAAGCAACATACGTTCTGGTGTGTATGGGGCAGTGGGTTGCACCTATGGTGCGTTGGGGGGTCCCTCAGTTCATGAGGTGTCTGTCCTGCAGCAGAGGAACTGCACAGCAGGCATGAGGGACTGCATAGGGCTGGGCAAGTCTGCACAAGGAGCGGGTCAGAAGTGAACTGGGTCTGGTCTCTTCTGGCCTCAGTCGTCATCACAGGTGGAGGACTTGGGGACGTTTTGTGTGGTGTCAGCAAACCTAACAGCTGCCTGCTCCTTGGCAAAGCGAATAACTCCCAGCAAAGCCCCCCATTGTCCCTGTCCTCCCCCAGCACAGCCTCTGGCTTACACCCTCCATCTCTGTTCAGTCCACAGTGCCAGCGCCGAACTTCGCCATGCCCGTGACGGTTCCTGTGACCAATCAGAACACGCTACAGTTCAGCAACCCTGGGAGCTCCTTAGTGACCCAGTCCCTCGTGACTTCCTCGCTGACGGACCCGCGGCTCCTCTCACCTCAGCAGCCCACTTTGCAGAGGAACACTGTGTCCCCAGGCTTGCCACAGAGGCCAGCCAGTGCCGGTGGGTTTTTGCGCCAGGTGGGACTGCCTGAGAGAAATGCCAGCCTTTCCCAGCTGTCTGCTGATGAGATCAGGGGACTGGGAAGGCAGATCTTAGGATCATGGGAAAGTTGGGCTGGAAGAGACCTCATGAGGTCGCATCTAATCTAGGCAGGGTCAGCCCTGACTAAACCATCTCAGCCAAGTGTCTGTCTAACTTGCATGACACAAATGCATGGGTTAAATTCTCCAATTTAGGGGAAGAGGAGTGTGCACCAGTAGTTATGGTAGTGGACTGGGAAACTGGACTCCTGGGTTCTTTTCCCAGCTGTCTCTCATCTGTGATGTGTGAGTGGGGACTGGTGGCAAAATTAACAGGCTTGAGATATGGGCAAAGCATTCAGAATCCCAAGTACATCAAGCAGACACCAAAAGTCTTGTTACAAGAAGGAAAAAAGGGTGCAGCTAATTGGGAAAGAACTGGGAATGGCTCTCCCTGCTCTCAGTGGGAAGGAGCACTTCCCAGCTGTCCCAGAGCTGCGGGAGGCTCATTGTAACCGCTCTCTGCAGAAGCCAGCATGACAGATCCTGTTTCCAGCCCTGCTGCTAGGCATTGCGCTCTCTGCCTTGGAGCCACAGTGTTTTCCAAGCCTTGGCAGTGGGCTTCTGTGCTGCACAGCTCATCCCCATTGCATGTGGTCTTGGATCTGTGTTGTTTCCAAACCCGCTCCTGGGAATGCAGCCCAGCTCTCTGACTTGCTGCTGCTGCTGAAGTCCCTATACCTGGTCCAACACCATTGTGCCCCCTAGACCAGATTTCTAACTGACTTGGTTCTGATTGTTTTCTAGGGGCGATGCTTGGGGGAGACTTGAACAATACAAATGGAGCCTGCCCCAGTCCCGTGGGTGAGTGAGAAGCTGCGCTGTTTTTTCCCTCCCTGCAGGTTGTGTGGCTTAGTGGCTAGAGCAGTGCACTGGCTCTGTTCCCACTACTGCCCAGGCCTGGTGGGAAACCTTGGATAAGTCACCTCACCTTCTCTGTTTTGTTCCTCAGTTTGCCCAGCTATAAAATAAGGATTCTTGCCTCCTTGCTTGCTGATCTGGGGCTGGGCATTAGAAATCATAGACAATTGGGGTTGGAAGGGACCCTCAGGATTATCTCCAAATCCCTCAAAGCAGCACCATCCCCAACTATCTTATCTCAGCTATGGGCTTTGTCTAGCTGGGTCTTAAACACTTCCAAAGATGGAGATTTCACCACCTCTCTGGGTAACCTGTTCCAGTGCTTTTCTAACCTCCTAGTGAGAGAGTTTTTCCTAATATCCAGCCTCAACTTCCCTTGCTGCAACTGGAGACCATTGCTCCTTGTTCTATCATTTACCACCGCTGAGAAGAGTCTAGCTCCATCCTCTTTGTAAACATATATACAGGTGTTGGGGAACTTGAGCTTTCAGGTCAAAACATTTTTGTGGGGGAAGATGGTGTTTTAGACTGAGCTGCAAACAGCTGTCTCTCACTAGATGTCTGTGAAGCTCCTAGCAGGGTGCAGCAGGGACAGCAGACATTGTATTAGGCTTTAGTAAGAACCCGCAGCTGCTGTGATGAAAGTGAGACCAAGCCTGAACTCAGCAGAGTTACTGGGTGTTTTAACGGTCCAAGTTCCTCCTTGGGGCAGCAAAGTGTGGTTAAGGCAGGACGTGAATAAGAGGCCATGATTTGGCATTAATAAGAGGCCAAGATTACCCTCCCAATCTTTACCTCTGTGTGAGGGAGAAGGCAGGGATTGAAAGGGGCTGATGACCTGCTTAGTGCTGTTGTAGCTGAGCCTGGATCACACTGTCCATTTGAAAATATGATCCTGGATCTCAATGGCTATTTTAAACAGAGCCAAATGGGAGCCCCACACCTGGACAGCTCAGGAAGCTGCTAGAATCATAGGAAATGAGGTGGGAAGGGACCTCAGGAGGTCACATCTAGTCCATCCTCTTGGTCAGAGCAGGACCAGCCCCAGCTACATCATCCCAGCCAAGGCTTTGTCAAACCTGGTCTTAAAAACCTCCGAGGATGGAGATGCCACCACCTGTCTGGGTAGCCTGTTCCAGTGCTTCATCACCCTCCTAGTGAGAGAGTTTTTTCTAATATCCAGCAAACTCCCCTTGCTGCAACTGGAGCCCATTGCTCCTTGTTCTGTCATCTGTCACCACTGCGAACAGTCCAGCTCCATCCTCTATGCAATCCCCCTGCAGGGAGTTGAAGGCTGCTATTCAATCCCCCCTTGGTCTTCTCTTCTCCAGTCTAAATAAGCCCAGTTCCCTCAGCCTCTCCTCATAAGTCATGTTCCCCAACCCCCAAACCATTTTCATTGCCCTCCGCTGGACTCTGTCCAATGGAGAGAGGTTCCTTCCAACCCTGTCACTGCCTTTCCTCCAGCCTCTGTGGCTTATGGCAACCTGTAACCCATGAGCTGCAGTGCAGAATCCCTGTAGCACCGTGCCCTGACACACCTATGCTCTGCTGTCTGTGCCTGGGCTTGAGGGCTGAAGGGGGCCCAGGGCAGGTGTCTTATCTCCATCGTGTACCTTTGCAGCTCCCGGGAGCAGAGCCCATCCCCAGGACATGACAGCCCCCAAGATCTGTGTCAGGAGTTTGCTGCTGCTCTCCCTCCACCCCCACCTGGCAGAGACAGGCCCTGTCACTTTCTATTCCCCCCCTCTCCAAGCCTCCAGCCCCAGCACCACCTCCCTGCAGCCCCCACGTCAGCTGTTGGGAGCAGCCGCTCCAGCTTCCAGCTTGGCAGGTTCCATGAATGTCAGGATTGACGTCACCAAGCCATTCCTCACATTCCTGCAGCTGCTCTGGGGAGCAGGAGCAGGCGAGCGGCAGGCCCTGCAGCCCCCATCAGCCCCTGCTGCTCCCCCTCCATTCCCCACAGCCCCTTTCTGGCCATTTGGCTTGCATCAACACCTAGATGCATGTCAGGTGGCTGTATTTGGGGGGGGAAGCTGGCAAGGAGCGAATTGCTGTTCTTATTCTCAGAGTGGACACAGAGTTCAAGATGTCTTGGGGATAACCTTGGGTTTCACCCTGGGCCAGGATTTGTTCTCTTCCTGTGTTTCCTGTGGGCATACAGGACGTGGTGCTGTGCTGCAGCCTGGGGAAATTTCAGGCTAGAAATGAGGTCTCACGTGTGCTGCTGGAGCCTAAAGGAGACTCTCCAGAGACAGTATAGGGCCTATGACACATGACTGGAGTGAAGCTGATGCCCTCCTGCTGGAGGCAGCGGTGCACTCATTGTGCTCGAGGGAGCCCAGTGAGATGCCGCTGTGATGGTTACCGTGGGAGCCTCTGCATGTGTCCCTGCAAAGGCTGGGAAACAGAAGGGCTTCTCGCATCCTTCGTGGCTCAGCCCGTTGTGTCTTACTCGTGCTCCGCGGTAGCAGCCCCATCGTAAGAGGAACTGACTGCCAGCGACCAAGGTCACCCTTGAAATGTTATGCACCTTCATCTTCAATTAATATAAAAGCCAGCGGCCTTGCGAGCGGCGCGTGGGCACGATAGCGTGTGCCTCGGCTGCCAACAGCGCAGAGACCCCAAGCCTCCTGCTTTGAGGTGCAAACATTTAGGGTCAGGAGAAAACCATCCTTGCAGACTGCTATCCTCTGCTGCAGCGTTTCTTCCTCTGTAGGACCTGGTCTCCTTGGACGGAGACAGGATATTGGGCCAGATAGGTCGCAGGGCTGGCACTTAGGCTCCTGAACAACCCAAAATGAAGCAGACATGAAATCCTTCCCCTGGGTGGTCTATCTTGCATGCAGGAGCTGTTAGGTGTAGGACACTCCTTACCTCTTTCCCAGTGCCAGCTAAGGAGACATGGCTAGGACTTGTTTCTGATTAGAGCAGCCCTGAGGCTGCTCTAGCATACACGACCATCCAGCCCAGCGAAGAAAACTCAGTGGTTTTTGCTCCACTCTTCCAGACTCGCCTGCAGTCAGGCAAAGACCTGGTCCACTAATTTGACAGCACATCTTTAGTGTATGTCACGCTCGGGACCTCGTTCTCACTGGGTCCAGTTCTTCCCTCCCAATTTTCCCTCAGCTGATTGGGCTCAGTGGGGGAATTACCATGGGTCTCCAGTGGGATCAGATCTGTGGCAACTTCCACTTCCTCCCCCAAGCACTCGATCACCCTGTGTCCTGGGAGCAGCAGGAACAAAATTGGGCCTCAGCTGAGAATGCCTCATGTTGGAAGCAACATCATCCCCTCCCACCTCCTGCCGAAATGCAGATGTGGTCCAATTGTCGGCATGATTAATAATGCAATCAGCGACCTATTTTTCCCGGTCTAACAGGCGCTGAATATGAGGGCTGAATCTTGGTGATTGCTAAATGTCTTTCTATCTTCAGGGCCTATTCTGTCTCACGCGCACGCGTGCGCACACACACACGCATGCACATGCACACATATATCAAAGAAAAAGAAAAATCTCATCAGAACAGTAATCGGATCCAAATTACTCTTTTCCTGATGTTCATCAAATTGCTTTCCTTCCTTCCTTCCTTCCTTCCTTCCTAAAGTTCCAAACTGAGCCGGGGAGGAAGAGAAGCTGGAGGCTGGGGAGACTCTAATCATCAGAGGGACATTAGGATACAAGAATGTAATTCCTATTTGTGCAATGGGATTGTTAAAGGAAAGGGATGGTCCTTTGGGCTGCCTTTACCCGCCAGGGTGTCAAAGTGGCCTTAGTGTGATGAGAATCAGAAGTGTCATGTCTCCTGCATGTTTTTTCATAGCCCCAAGAGGGAGGGGGGTGAAAGTGGTGAATTGGAACTGGAGACACCTGGGTTCAAGTCTCATCTGTGCTCCAGCCTCCTTAGGTTGGCCTGAGGGTGTGGACACATGAGCCAGGAACCCCAAGCTGAGGGATTTACAGTGTCGGCTGCTCTCTGGTAGGAGCTGGTGTGTAGGCTCCTACATGCAACACAGTGCAATCCACCCTGCTGAACCTCAGTGGAAAAGGGTCTGCTTTCATCTGCTGTGGGGTAAGAGTATACACACGGAAAGTTACCACTGAGCACCTGACACGGGGCAATTCCGTGCCCTCCCAGGCTGACTTGGCTTGCAGGGACACCTACACAGGGCGATGGAGAATCAAACCTGCTCTCTCCCCACTGCACCAAACACACGTGTATTTACTCCTCGTGTCTTCTCCCTGCAGGGAACGGGTACGTCAGTGCCAGAGCCTCTCCCGGCCTGCTCCCGGTCTCCAACGGTAATAGCTTGGGCAAGATCATCCCACCCAAATCCCCGCCACCACCTTCCCACGCCACCCAGCTCGCCGCCAACAGCCGCAAGCCAGATCTCCGTGTCATCACCTCGCAGAGCGGCAAGGGGCTCATGCATCATTTGGTGAGAGCTCAGCACAACCAGGGAAATTCTCGAGGCAGCCGCATTGCCGTCTCTTGGGAAATCAGGTCGCTCGGCTCCAGGGAGATGCTGAAGACTGGAGGCTGACAGCAGTATTCCCCAGCAACAGGAGCACGCGACTATGTTGCTGATGGATCATTGCTGGAGAATACTGCAGCCTGTCCCAGGGATAGGGCATATAACACAACTAGAAAATACACCTCCTCTTCTCAGCAGTGGCATGCTACTACACAATGCACAGTTGGGCTGTTCTGGGGATACTGTTCTCCGAGGCTGTAGGCAACTCAAGAACTCCCCGGACCTCAAAATCTAAGCCCCTGTCCAAAAGCAGGAAGGTTGCTTCTAAATCACATGATATTTTCCAGTAATAGCCCGTGGCTTTCCAGCTGCAATGTGATGCGCCAACAGGAGCATCATGATGAAAAGCTGTCTTCACGATAGGTTCTCAGCAATGCTGGAAAGGGGCTTTGTACCATGCCGGTAGCATGCAGCAGCTTTAAAGGAGATGTCAGTACAGGAGCCTGGGTTTTCACATGTATTGAAGCCTGTGATGCCAAAATGAGGACAATGAATGTAACGAACCATTTTGGGGTGTTCCCTGCCACCAAAACTGAGGGTAAAAGAGAATCCAGCGGTGGGTGTGATGAGTGTCTGAGGTTGTGTTGGCTATATTGGGTTTGGCCAGGCTGCAGAGTTAATGCTGTTGTAACCAGGATGATTCACTTCATGTTCCACGTGCTCAGTGCCTTAAACTGAGTTGGCTAGTCTAGTGGGGGGACATGGGATCCACCTCAAGGTAGGACCATTCCTCTCAACTCCAGTGCCAGCCCTCATCTACCTGAGCAGCTTGGAGTGTGAACACACTTGAAGTTTGCCTGAATTTCTGCTACAGTACTTTGCAGTGCCTCCATCTCCAATGTGGTCACTCCCAAGTGATCTCTACTGACTCCAGGTGTGAGAACTCACGTTAACTCTGCAGCTGAGACCTCGCCATTAGCTAACTTTGACTTAAAAAGAAAAGCACTTTTCCTCGCTCGGCTAATCTGTACTTGAAAGGGCCTGCCAGCATTAATAGAGCTCTCCTGGCAATGCCAGCAAAAGAGTTGGCTTACATCAGCTCTCTCTGCCAGAAAAAGGACAGGTTTGCCTGGCCGTATGCCCATCTCCATGGGGGTCTTTGCTGGCATGGCTGTCAGTGAGAGACTTCCATGCACCCATGGCAGCAAAGCTGTGATGGTAAAAGAGGGCGCTTGTTGTCCATGAGCCTCTGGTGCTGGGTTGGGAAGAGCTGCCAATGTAACGGTACCCATTGGCTTTCTTTCTGTTCTTGTGCATGCAGACGGAGGACCACTTGGCTCTGGTGAGTTCCCTTGCTGTGTCTGTGTCTCCCAACATGTCATGAGTCTGTTTGGTTTAACATGAATGTCAGGATGATCCTGTAACTTCCCCCTCCCCCCTCCCCACACACACTCTGGAGAGCTGGGGTTTAACTGAGGGGTCCTGAGTCTTATTTACCCCTGTATGCTACTCTGGCAATGCCAAGAGGTTGCAGTGAAATGGGGAATTGGGCTCTGGGACACTGTTTTAGGGAAAAGCATAAACAGTAGGCTGTAGCTGCCCTGAGTGTAAAACAGCATCCCTGATTTACACCTTCTCCTCCATGAAGCTGACTTACCCCAGCTGTTGAGCTATAACCCATTGATGTCAAAAACAATTTACACCCCTGAGTCTGCCCTGCTAGCTGCAGTGAAGCCATGTGAGTTTTTCTACGGCCCCTTATTGCTAAAATGAGAGGTAGGAACTAGATCGGGTTCTGGGCACATTCAGAAGCTCATTGCTTGCTTTAGTTGGAAGTAGTTGGCCTTCGAGTTTGCTCCTGTACCCTGGTCTCCATGCATGATTTGGTCTCCTGGCCCCTGGTTTCCTTCTCATGACTGCACAGCTGGGAGTGTCACCTTATTTGCAGCAATCACTGCTCCTCTGTGCTAACACTGATGTGGTGCAGGGCAGATGGCTGACAGGGTGGCCACATCCAGGAAAGGTTGTAAGGCATCATTAAAAGTGGGGGGTAGTACTCAGGACCAGGAGTTTGGGGTTCTTCAAAGGGGAGTGGCACAGAGGCTTTCCCTCCTGGCAAGATGGCAGCATGACTGAGTGGATGGAGCTTGGCGGTCTTGGGTGTAGCTGTCACTGGCCTGCAGGTGACTTCCTTGGCACTCCCCATTTTGTTCCTGTGGAGCAGAGCTAAGGATCCTGCCTTCCTTAGTAGAGCGCTGTGAGCTCTTTCAGGGCAAGGTGGCCATATTTTTGCAGTGCTCCAGACTCATCCCTTTGAGTGCAAACACTCCTCCTGCCTGCGTTTGGCTCTGCTAACACACAGTTCAGCTCCCCAGACTCTCCTTCCAGATTGCCCAGCCTACACCCGAGATCCTCTCTGTCTCTCTAAACAGCTACTCCCACCTCCTTGTACACAGCAGGGAGGATGAGTCACCTGCCCCTCCGTGAGTCAGGCAGCACAATCCACTTAACCCTTTGCCAGCAGCTTCAGCCCTTGCTAATGTAGTGGGTGTGCTCCTGGCAGCCCCCGAAAACTGTGAACACTACTAGAGGGTTCACTGTGTCTTTAAAGACATGCCACCCTATTCCTTCGATTTACACTGAGAATCTGTCTCCTAAAGCATAGAGCAATAACCATCCACTGAGCCTACCCTGATAAGCAGCTTCACTCAGGAGCATGTGCCTGACTTTATTATAATCTTGAACGACTGCTAACTTGGAACAGTTAGCAACCTGCATGGGTGTTACAGTGACACGGGGGGAGTGGGAAAGCATTCAAATGTCAACAGGTTTTACCTGCATGAATAGGGCCTGAGACTGTTGCTTACTGCAAGCCGGCGTGGCATGAAATTGTGAGCTGTAAGTAAGCTGCTGTTTCCAGGCCCTGGCTTTTGGGGATCAATTCTCGCTTACCATAAGATTTTGGGCTCAGGCCTACTTCAAGATCTGATTCCCACCCCCCTTATTTTTTTTCCTTGCAAGAGCAGTGTGAAAGGGCTTTGTGCCTTCAGGGACCTCCAGAGAGAGGCTTTAAGGGGAAAGAGATTCCTTTCCCCTTGAAAGAGGGCACTGTTTGGAGAGAGACAGTGTGTGTCTCTGCATCAGAGAGGTCCCTGGGGTGGGCATTGATTTTTAGCAGATAGGGCACAGGGGTCACATTCATTCAGGTACTGAGGGTCAGCCCAATATCTCTGCCTTGCTAAGAGCATGTTTGCACAGGGAAATGGACTGCAATAGCAGTTGGGAAACCAGCTGTTCTGCTCTATGTGGATGCTGATAAACTGGAATAAGAAATCCTGTTTTTATTCTGATTTAAGTGGCTCCAGTTTGCAAGCCAGAGTGACCATGCCTACATGAGTGATTCAGAATTGTGAGAGCACCTTAAATCAACACCCTCCCTTATTCTGGTATAATATCCCCTTGGGCTTTACCCATCGCACTTCGATCCCCCAACGGCAGGCAAAGGGACTTGAGTTTTTTGCATTTTAGACAAAACTAGTTTGTCCAATGGATTGCATGGGTGTCCTGAGAAACTAACCCGCGTGCTGCAACCTTGCATGATCCATTACTTCATTGTGTATTGGGATTGCTGAACTGGATCAGACTCACCTGAATTTAAACATTCTCTGTCTGTCTCTGCCCAGTGCTGACTGCTTCAGAGGCAGGTGGAAGAAACCCAGTAGCCATTGGAAACCCCAACCCTCCAGGGCTCTAACTGCTTCTCCTTTTGCTTCTGCAGCAGAACACGCAGCGGTTAGGGGTCTCACAAGCGACTCATTCTTTAACCACACCAGTCGTCTCAGTGGCCACCCCGAGTTTGCTGACACAGGGCCTGCCTTTCTCTGCCATGCCCACGGCATACAACACAGGTAAGAGCAACCTCCCTGGAACTGTCCTGCCTATTGAGACTGAAGCATAATCAGCCTGTGGAAGTAGCTGCCTTAGCAGGATCAAAGCAAAGGCAGGGATATGTATAGGGACAATGGGGATATCCCCTGTTATATCCACAAAGATCTTGAGGACATGATTTTTACTCATCCTGTGGCCCTGTTGTGCCAGCACCGGGGGTGATACCCATAAAGTGGATGCTAATTGCAGTCACACCTACTCCAGAGAAGTTGTGTAAGGAACTTTATGGAAATCGTTGTTAGGCCCAGGATGTCTGGAAGGGAGATGAGACATCCCGTTTCTGGGCATAAATCAGTTTCTAGCTGATGGGGACTAGGAAGGAATAGGGAAGCTATAGGACACCTGTCTGCTCTAAAGGGATCATGCAGATGAAACCTGTCAAATGCTCATGCAGACTGCAGGGCTGGTTAGTTTCCTGTATAACTCATTTTGGCATCAGCTCATAGACTGTCAGATAAAAATGTTGTTGCAAAGCTGCCTGTCTGGAAGAATGCAGAATAGGCGTGTTGGAAACACCCTCTGTAATTAATAGGTGTGGCCCAACAGGTTTGTGTTCAGATGTGACTAGAAGGCTTCTTGTGAGGAACCCAGCCTTGGGCAGAGGATCCAGCACAAGGTTTGGACCAGTGAGTCTCAACCAGGGGTGCCCTGAGAGCCTTTTAAAGTATTAGCACTGTTAAGTGTGCGAACATGGTTCACAGAGTAAGCTCAGAGATTTTAAAGGAATCTGGAGTGTTAAAAAATGACCTGTTTTGGTCTCCCTTGTGTTCTTTGCAACAGCAGAAGTACTCTAGTATTTTTCTATAGACAAAATACAGTGGAAACTAAGTGCTGGCATTTTCCAAGGGGTGCCTTGAGTCTAAAAAAGTTGAGAAGTACTGGCTTAGACCCTGCCAAAATGCCTGTAATAGGTGTTCAGTTGGAAATGGTCCTGCATTAGGGTAGACTTTGAACCTGTTTCTTTTGCCCTTGCAAAAAGCAAAAATATGCTAGCATGGGGCCCTTCTCCTCTGACCCTTGGGCCTGAGAGCAGAGATGCTTTTAAATGACCATTAGTGCTATGACTATGGCAGAGAAAACCCCACTGAAATCAGGAGCACATTTTGCCAGCTGCTGTGCTCACACAAAGGATGTGGATGGATGAAGAGTTGTCCTGCATCAGTGTGTGGGGGGAGAGTTACTGCTTTTGAGTGGACATCTGATGTCGTGTAACTGCTCCGTCTGTCCTCTCTTGCCCTTCGGTAGGGGATACTAAGCTGCAGTGATTTTATCCTAGAATGAAATAGGTGGCAAATGACTGGTTTAGCTTCCATTTACCATGGGATAGAGCAGACAGATGAAGCGGTTACAGCAGGTTCGGTTAAGCCGTGGTATGTTTCCTCCTGACTTCTTTTTCCACTAGCATAACTGTTTAGTCTGTTTGTGCTTATAGCGAGAGCCAGACCGTGCCCCATGGCCCTTGCA